GCTTCGTCAACTCTGCTATTACTTCGCTTATTCGGAGAGCGCTCCTCATTCCATCCTCCCAGGCATTAATTGATGAAGAATTACAAATCATCAAAAGAGCAATGCACAATGCCGGATATTCTAATTCCAAATATCGATATCTCTACAACCGGGTCATAAATAAATTATTTCCAAAATCTTTCCTCAGCAACAAAGAAAACCTAAAGATAATAAACCCTCCAATACCGTACTTGGGCACCATATCACTAAAAATAACGCGCATATTCAGGAAGCATGGTTTTATATTGCCTATAACCCCTCAACCGACACTACGAAGAACATTGTGCAACGACAGAGACATTCTCACCTTGAATGAAAAATCGGGGGTTTATATAATTCCATTAAAACATACAACATCAGGGGAGGAAATTATGTATATTGGAGCTACCAGCAGAATGATGCGGTCTCGTATCTTCGAACATCAAGAAGATATTAGAAACAACAGACCAGCTACAGAATTAGCGAAAAAGGTTCTAGACCAAAATTATCTTCCACTTTGGAACAACATTAAATTACTTAAGCATTGCAATGATCGTAGACAAATATTTATATGGGAAAACCTGTACATATCTGCTGTTTTGCCGTGCAACGCGCCGACGTTGGAAATACCACAGCTATGGATAACTTTATTTAAACAATCCAAGTTATAATTTTGTGATCTAATTTTATTCTACCACCATATACGGCACCATCAATCAATATTTATATGATTTGGGGAGTTCAAGTTATTACAGCAAGTTACTTTAAAAAAAAATATTTATTAATTCAATTTTATTAATTTGTTCTACATTCCGATCTCGTGCATTACGTAATTTGAAAAGTCCGTTAAAAGCTATCAATTCGAAAATAAAGGTATTCGATTTCGCCTGAAGACGACAGTCGTAAACTGTTGAAAGTACTAGCGAACATATCTGAAATTTAACAAATCGCTGTCAATAACGCCGCAACACGTAAGTGTCATAATTTTAAACAGTGCTTATTTCAAAATACCTTCACTAACGTTTTTGAACTTAGTTGTTCTTCAGGTGAATAAAAGAAAACAGGCAGAATCGATGTTATTTGAACATATCTGTTTCATACGAATTCTGAAACGCAGTGTTCTAAGGAAACCCGTGCACTCATCGTCTTAAACTTGCACATGCTCTGTAGATAGAAGGATCTCTTTTGGCTTCTCATGTATCATAAATAAGAGTTTGCCATGCTATTGATAAGGATAGTTCATCCTTATTGTTTATACACTTATCTTCTCTTGCTGTTTTATAGATATATATTGCTTCCATCCAGTGCAAATGGTGTGGTTGCTCTGTGGTGTAAATTATCTTTGCCTCCTCAAATAATGTTTGTATGTCAGGGTCTGTGGCATATTGTGCTAATGCTGTAGTATGTTTTTTATGTAGGATGTCTGCTTTATGTTCTTTGATCCTCACCTCCAACGATCTTTTTGTGGATCCCACATATACTAAGTCTTTATCCCACCTATGATCTTTTATAGGGATCCTGTATACTCCTGCTAATTTGTTGTGATGTGGAGTATCTTTTGCATTATTTACTATTCTGAATAGAGTGGGACATCATCTAAATATTAAGGAGGCTTGTTTTCTCTTGGTGATTTCTTTATAGAGTTTCTTCTCTAAGTATGGATTGTAAGTAATCAGGATTCTGTCTTTCTGAATGTTACTTTGTTGCCCTTGTAGTTCTGTTTGTTCTGTTCTTCAGGAATGAAGCATTTTTTTCAACCCTCGTGGCTATCCTACTATTATATCCATGTTTTTTGGCAATATTATTAATGGTGTTGATCTCTGTAGCAAATGCCTGCATTGTCGATGAGTGAGTGTATGCTCTTTTCACCAAGCTATTAAATGCCACTATCTTATACTGCCATGGGTCACATGGATGTGCAGGGATATACAATTGATCTGCCTGCGGTTTTCTGTATACCTCTGTGATGATAGACGTTCCTTTAACTATGATGGTCACATCTAGAAAATGAACTTGTTTGCCGCTTCCTGTTCGAGGCCCAGAGTTAATCCATACGAGATACATTCAATAAGCATAATAATAATATAGGTTGCATGCCTTATTTAGGATTTTACTTTCTGGATTTAATTTGTGAAATAATGATAATTTATTAGTATTTATTGGCTGTGCTTATTGCCTTGGCATTGTTGTGTCATGTTTGCTCCATTGCCCAAACTCCTCTTATTACATTTTGCTCATTATACTTTTTGTACTCACTTGTTGAACCTGTATCCCCAGTACTGATTAGATTTTGGAACAAATGTTTTTGGCCTCACTCAAGGTCTGCTTCAGGTTGAATGAAAACTGGATTCCAAACTTAGAATGGTCTTTGAAACACTTTCCAACATTCAGTTTTAAAATAAATAAAATAAATTTGCAGATATGTGCGTGCTATGGAGTGTCATGTCTTTCTTGCTCTTTGCATAAGTTGCGCCAGGTGTACGAAAGGGCATTGCAGTCTTTGAAGTTTATACATCTCCCTGTCTGGCCAGCCCTGTATATTTCAAGGGCTTCTAAGGCCCTGGTGTGGTCTGTGTGAAAGGCTCTTTTTATCAGTTTGGCATTGGATAGGTCTGCATGAACCTCTGGGTTGGTGGCATAAGTGATAGGGCAGTGGTGTAACAAGCACAGTCTATGTTGTATTTGTGTTTCTTGACACTCTGTTGGATGGAATGTTTAGTGGATCCAATGTACACCATTTCTCACCTAAACCTGTCATCTCTCATTGGAATATTGTATACTGTCGGAGCCCTGAGATAGTCCAAAGATAGCAACGCTGTTTCATATGCCTGGTGCTACTTATGCAAAGAGCAAGAAAGAGATGATGCCCCATAGCAAGTGCATATTTCAAATTTATTTTATTTATTTTAAAACTCAACGTTGGAAAGTGTTTCAAAAACTATTCTAAGGTTGGAATCCAGTTTTCATTTGGCCTAAAGCAGATCTCGAGTGAAGCCGAAAATGCTTGTTCCAAAATCTAATCAGTACCGGGGGATAAAGGTTCAATGAGTGTGTACGAGGGTGATCATAACACCGGTAAACAGAGTAGAACATATTGTGATCATTATACTTTTGTTTGATCACCCAGTATATATTGAATATATGAGATATTTTCTATAATTAAAAATTATCTTTGATTTTGACGATTGACTCTTATTTATATTTTTATTTTTCTTTAAATGATATAAATTATTTCTTTAAAAAATAATTAATAATATACTATTTAGGCTATTTACTCTTTAACAATTTTTGTTAAATTTTCAGAAGAATGTCTGCAAATGTTTTAAAATAATTAAAATTTTTTTTGTAGATCAATCTTGGAAGATGCAAAAGAAATAAGAAAATTACGCAAGAGATGCAATGGTGTCAGGTATTTATATAAATATTTTGAACTTGTTTAGTTTTATTTTATTTTTAAGAAATAAATATTAATAAATATGTTTCAAAATTGAAAATTTTTATTTTTTGCATTTAAATTTGTTTGCAATTTTATATAATGTTTTCTTAAAAAAATAATGTTAACAATGAACTTTCTCATTAATTTACTTATAACTGATTAAATGGATGGTCATGTTGTAACATATATTTTGAGGGATGGAATTTGATTTGGACTTTTGCAATTTGTAATAAGTAACTCAGATCAGATCAAGCTTCATTAGTATTACTGTATCAACTGACCAATCAATCAAATCATCTGATAATCTGTCTAAAGTTTAAACTGATGCTAGATAAAGGATTCCACTCTCTGTATTTTGCCTATTTTTTTCATATATTTAGATGATTAATTTAGTATTTATCATACGAAACAGAACCTTTAATTCTAAATAAAACAAAATCAATGTATAAATATTGTTGATTTTTTCACAATTACATACGTTTTTGAGGAAGTTAGTTCTACTAAATGAACAGTAATTGAAAAATGTATTAAATGTAATTGCCTTCTTTACAGTAAATATTTAGATATATATACTGTATAAGCTACAGTATTATATAGATAAATTATATGTATATTTAATAAGATATTACTGAAAATATCTTTATATCTATCAGTGCCATTGGTCTTGCTTTTGGAAAAAAATTGACTACAGAAGAAGAGATGATAACTGTAAGTATAATTCTTGAATAAATTTCTAAACACTGATAATTTGTGTAATGATTGTGAATGAGGTAAAATTTACAGAGAATTTTAAAGGACACAACTTTAAGCAAAATTGAGATTAGTTACATTGGTGTTTGGAACTGCAAGTGACGACCTATTGTTTGATTGTGAAACAACATAGTGAGATGTGATGACCAGAAAAGATAGAATAGAAATTTTTTGAGTATATACTGATTGTTTTAAAAATGGCAAGGATGTAAACCAGGGGTGTCCAACCCGTGGGCCGCATGGGGCCCAAGGCAAGTTCCAATGCGGCCCAGAGAAACAAAAAGGTTGGACACCCCTGATGTAAATGTATGTGTGAATATGTACTGTGAATTGTAATGTTAAAGTAGTATGAATGGGCAAGTACATGTGCTTCTGTACTTATGAAAAGGTTAAGTTCTTGAAATTCTGAAATCGTGTTGAAATGCTTGAAAGTGTAAAACCAACCTAGAAAATGCATATGTGCACAAAATAAACACTTATTGTTAATATTTGATCTTTCAATGTACTTAATAGAATACATTACATTCATTTACCTGCTCACTATTGCTATTAGTAGCAGGTATTTCAAATGCAGCTTTTTTTGCACCTAATGCACTTAGTTTTATAGTGTTTTAGTTTCTGTTGGGAATAGAATATTTCTTGCATTTATTACCATTGCTAGATTTACTGTTATGTTTTAGATGCATTTTTGAAGCACTAATTGTAAAAGATTATAAAAATTGCAAACAATAGTGAAAAACACCATTATTCCAACATTACTGACTTCGACTCCACCTCACCAGTGGCGATGGAACCTCAGAATTTGTGCCAGAACGAAAAATGACAATACATAATAGAAATAAGTCCACATTTAATTATTAATATTTATAAAAAATTTATTATTTATTACTGGCCAAAGACTGACTTCAATGCCAACCCATGAATGGCAAGAGCAGTTCAGAATCCATGTGAAATTTAAATTTTAGATATACAGTCAAATTGTTTTTAAGTAGAACATTCATATGCACAGGAACCCCTGAATAGACAATGTACAACACTCTCAACACTTTCCCATTTGTATTGAACCATAGAAAAAACAAAGTTTGTATCAAATTTTATTTTATTAATGTAATATTATTAATACAACATTTGACACAAACTTTGCAATTCGGTACACATTTATTGATGGTCGGACGGCTGAGGCAGTTATGGCATTGGCCTAGTCCTCTGAGGAACCAGGAATCAAATTTTTACAGTTGAAAAACCCCAGAAATTTTTCAGGGGATGGTCAAAGCCATGATGGGTATGATTAAAAAAATCCTCATAGTGTTCAAGGGCCCAAAGAGGGAAAAAGTTCATATTTATTACATATGTACTAAGTTGTGACATGAAATATACTTTTTACAGTATGTTGCAGTCAGAAGAAGTGGAAATACACTGTGCTGTACAAATCATTATACCCTGGTGACTCAATCTTTAGATATTACTAGTGATTGTAGTTAATAAATTTCATCATTAATATTATTAGAAGAATCACTAATTGGTTATTTACTTACAGATTATATAAATGGGTGGAAAGAAAGAAGTTGTGTTCAAGTAAATATGATTTCTGATACTCCCACCCTACATTAATAAAGCAATTAGAACGATTCTCTTATTTTTAGAATTGTATTAGAACTACAGTTTTGCTGACAAATTCATTAATGAAAATTTCTGTGATTATTCTGCTGGGAAAAAAGCACATTAATTTACATTGTTTCACATAAATTAGAATGATATTATGGAAAATTTATTAAAGCCTAATTTTGTGTTAGATCTTGTGGATATTCTAATATTTCTGTTGGATGGCTGAGATGATTAAGGCATTAACTTACTGCTCTGGGATGGAGGATTAAATCAGGATGGTCAAAATAACCTTAGGAATTTTTTGGGGAATCTGTCCTGGATATGTAAGTTCCCATCTCTAATCATCTGGCTATCCACTTATGAGCCTGTCAAAATCTCTTAGTACCCACAGGATGGAAAGAATTACAAAAAAAGAAAATTGCTGAAATTGCTTAATAACAAAAGGTATAATTGGAGAATACAGTTGTATACTATTTTAATATAATATTTAGAAAAATATTACAATTGAAAACAAACACAGATAAAATTGATAGAAGAATTACAATAATCTGACTTCAAATGCAGATTTATATACTGTAAATGCTGGATCAAGAGCTTACAATAAAAGGTTAACTCTGCTAATGATTCAGTTGTGTTTCTGTGCTGGGAGGGACTTGTAAGAAGATGATAATTTTTGTGTTTGTCTTCAATTAGATATTTTAAAACAATTTACAGTAAAATTTCTTGTGTCTTGGGGTTGCAAGGATTTTTCTTATTTTATTTATATTTGCTGTTCTGTGGGATGCCATTAATACTAATCTTGCATTTTGATCTTTATTATTTTCTTATTGATTCTTAATGATGGATGTAAAGTCTGAGAGTGCATGAGTCAACAATGAAGCTTTTGTACTGAGTAAATTTTAAATTTACAAATTAAGAATATTCTTTAATATTATATTAATCAAACAATACATTGAGTATACAAAATTTTGTGGTATCGTGTAAATAATAGTACTGAGGTTCACCAAAGTCAAGTGATTAATGAAAATAGATAGAATGTTGTTTTATTCTTGTATATAGTAATTTAATTATTTGAAAGAATTAGTTAACATTTTTCCATTTAAATTGATGCTTTAATTTAACTGTGTTGTTATAATTATACTTACAATAATAAATTTACATTCCAATGTTAATAATTTTTTCAGGAAGATCCATTTAAATTAAAAACTGGTGGTATGGTCAATATGAAGGCTTTGAAACAAGGAAGGTAAGTTTTATGACTATTTAAAACTTCTAATATATATATATAAATAATGGTGAGGAATGAGCTGCAGTATAACATATTGGACCTCATTCCTCACTTAATTATCCTGTGGTTCTAGCTAGATTCAAGGTAGGCACAAAAAGACATCATTTAGTGCTCACAGAGCTGAAAGAATTAAGAGATATATATTTAAAAAAAAAAATTCCTATTGTGCTGCATCACTAAGTGTTTATATTTATACATAAAACATCATTTATTTACAAACTAATGATTTATAGTAACTTTTTGGAAATAAATCACCATATAATTCACTAATCAAGTGTATCTGATGTGATTGTTCAATACTGTGAAGGAAAAACAAGATTGTTTTTATAACTTAATTATTATATTATTTTATGTTCAAGTAATGTGTTATTAACAATTGTACTTTTTGTTTTGCTTACTGAAATATACTTTTATATTTTAATAGGACAGGCATTGAAGAATTAGATGCTGTAAATCTCGGTAATACCTTTTCTGCAGAAACCAATCGACGTGATGAAGATGCAGATATGTAAGAATAATTTGTGGTAGTAAAATGTTAATTAGTTATTTATGTTGAAAAATAAGGAAAATATTAACATTTTCATGATCTGTTGATTGGTGGCAACACTGAACATTTTTGCTTGTAAGCTCCCACTACCCTTTTTACTTTTTCTTTTGTTCTACTCTTCCTGCCTTGTCTTCAGATGTGGATGAATTGTGTGAAGTAGTAATGGGCTCAGATTGCTTTAACTGTGTGATGGAACTTTCTTGACTTCACATTGGATATTTAGAAGGCAAATTTAACTGGTCAACTTGGAAATATAAAATTTGCATTGTGTTAAGGAATATTCTTAGTGCATTTAATATTATTGAAGGAAAAATTTTGAAACTGGAATAATTAGATTCCGATGTTTCAAAGGAAGAAAGAACAAGGTATGAAAAAGAACTATTATATTTCACTAATTGCGATAGTAGTATCTTGTTGGTTTTTAACTTTCAATCTGTCTGAAGAAACTTTAAAGAAAGTCACACATTTTACAACAGCACGATACGTTTAGTTAGAATTACATAGATTATATGAAGGTGTCTGTGAAGACAAAGCTTACGATCTTTGTATGAGATTTTTTAGATTTGAACAGCTTCTTATGTGTGTTAGTAACTAAGACCTCTTGATTTTCGTTTTCATTATCCTTACAGGTTAAAGCTCCATCATACGAGCACAACTGCAGTTAAATTATCTATGGTACAATCCTTTTTTAAAATAAGAAGCCAGTTTGACTTAATGAAAAATAGTTGTCAGGTAAAGTATCTAAGACTTTACAAAGTAACAATAAATCTGGCAACTTTTCCATTCCTTCATCCTTTGTTAATTCTACATTCAAATCATTCCAAATTTTTTTAGTTTTGATAAATCACTGGCCATATCATCTCCAACTTGACATTTATAACCAAACTAACGGGAAAGTCTAGTTCAGATATAGTTTGTCACTATTGTCACAGATCTGGTCATAAAATAAAGTATTGTTTTAAAAGGAAAGCATGCAGTAAAACTAAACAAGAAAATAGAGCGTTTTCTGCAGGATCTCATAAAGATAATAATTGTAATATGACTCTCTTAACAATTATGTTGAATACAGTACTTAGTGAAAATGATAAAGATTGTTGGTATGTGGACAATGGAGCTACAAGTCATGTTACCTAGCAACAAAATTTGTTTTGTAACTTTGAGCACTTTATTCAGTTACCACAGTCAATGGAGACAAAATATCTGCAATAGGTAATGGAAAAATTGAACTAGAAACATATGTGGATAATACGCGGAATAAAATTATATTATGTAATGTTTGGTTTGTACCAGATCTTAAGAAAAATCTATTTTCAATGTTAGCTGCTCAGGATCATCATCACTCTGACTTATTTATATCAAAGGCTGAAGAATGCAAATTAAAAGTTGATGGACGCATAATAATAACTGGTAGACATAGCCGATACTGAGGTATTTTTAATCTTAATTTAAGAAGTGTAACATGTAGCAAGCCATGTGAGATAAATGCAGTTACTAAGTCAAATTTATTACAGATCTATCAACAAATTGACGTTTGAACTATGGTTTAATAAAAGACCAAATATTAAACACTCATGAATCGTTGGAAGTACTTGCTATACTCATGTACTCAAGCAGCTAAGGGAAAAGTGGAAGAAGAAAGCACATAAAGGTGTTTTGATAGGATATGATGATGATGGGTATCACATATGGGACAAAGAAAATAACAAGCTCATTCGTTTGAGAGATGTTACTTTTTAAGAAGAATCCTTGATTGTTAAAAATGATATCTTGAATATACCTCATTCAGAAATAATCATGAAGTCTGATAGTTTACAATAAGATGATAGTTATCTGAATGCTGAAAAAGATTTGCGTTTTCATGATAAAGTTGAGAGCAAAGAGAGAAAACAAAAAATGACTATGGGATCGTTCATTATGCGTCCCAGAAGATTTGTTGACTATGTTATGTCAGCAATCTAATGCCTTTGAAGATCCTAGTACTTACACAGAGGCAATTAGTTGTCAGAACCAAGAGAAATGATTAAGTGCTATGGATTGTGAAATAAAATCCTTAAAAGAAAATTATACATGGACCTTTGAAGAGTTACCAGGTGAAAGAAAAGCAATTACACGTGTGACCGGAGGGTCGGCACTTCTTTAGTGCCTTGTCAGGACTGACACCACTATGTCTTGTTTGACATGGAAGCCGGGACGGTGTGTTGATTTGGATTCAATGTAGATTATGCGAGCAGCTGCATGCATGGGTGATCGAATTTGGGATGGAGACGGATTGAGAGACAGCGCACCGGAAGTACTTCACTCAGATTCTACATTTAACAACAAATACCCATTTAATAATTTCAACAAAGAAAGGTTACAGGATACATATCATAATGTTAGATTAATCGACCTATTTAACGGAGTGGTCGCAAGAGAGAGAGTTTACATGAGGTTTGCGTGGTGATAAATACCTTTTGTAGCTGATGTCCGGTTTAGTCTCTTTTAAAATCGCTGGTAAAGAGTTGAGTATTCAATAGTTCATATTTAAAGGCTACTAAAACCTTTAAATATGAACTATTGGATACTCAACTCTCAACTCAAGTAAAATGTCCAAGTTGATGAGTAGATAGAATTGGATAGATAGTAAAGGAAAAATTGAACTAGAAACATATGTGGATAATACACGGAATAAAATTATTGATTTATTCCGTTAGGTAGGTTCGTGCACTATCACAATAAAAAATTGGAGAAAGTTGGGTGCTGACTTTACTCTGGAAGGAATGGGCGATGACTCTCTCTTCGGCCAGCAATGTTGATATCAGTTTGATATTGCCTGGCCAAAAGGTCAGCAGATCATGGGAATGCATTCCTTTTGTTGTCGGGAAAGTGTAAGTGGAGATGTTTTCAGATAGCTGACGACAACAATTATGCAAGTATGGTGTCATCGATGATTAAATTTTTGTAAAGTTCGGATTCTCACATACAAATGAGTAAAACAAGACCAATCCAGATGGTTCAATAGACAAGTTTAAGGCAAGACTGGTAGCAAAGGGATTCTCTCAAAGAAAAGGAAAGGATTTTGATCAAACATTCAACCCTGTTGCTAAGTTAGGAACAATTAGAGCACTTTTAAATGTTGCAGCAAATGAAAATATGTCTCTGATACAATTTGATGTCCAACACCTTTCCTATATGGTATAATAGACAAGGACATTTACATGGAACAGCCTGAGGGGTTTAGTGATTGTTCAGAGTCTGTAAGTTAAAATGAAGTCTTTATAGACAAGCTCCACGATGTTGGAACAAGAGATTTCGGGACTATCTTTTGAAATTAGCTTCCAAAGGAGTGATGCAGATCTTTACCTTCATAAAACAAAAAAGGTCCAAATAAACTTTTCTTAACCTTGTGTGTAGATGACTGTTTGGTGGCAGCAACATCCTCGGGAATCAGCAAAGTTTACAAAGCAGTTAAAAAGTGAGTTTAAGATTTAATAAATACATAAAAATATAAATACAACTTTAACAAAGGTAAAACCTTGCTTTTTTCATTCTTTTCACTATTCACACCATCAGCAGTTTAAGATTGAGTTTAAGATTGTTTCTAGGCTACCTATTTCTTAGGTTTAGAAATTCGCAGACAAAGTGATGGATTAATTTTTGTAAATCAAAAGTCCTATACAGAAAAAATTCTTTGAAATGGAGCGTTTTGGCATGTAAGAATGCAGACCTGTGTCAACACCAATAATTAATGAAAGCAATAAATCAGGAAAAGTAGGTTCCTGTGAGAATAATGAAGAACACAAAGAGGATAAACCATATCGTCGTCAGTAGGTGCTATTACGTACTGTACCTGATGGTTGGTACACGACCATCAGGTACAGTACATAATAGCACCTACTATAATAGTACCATAATAGTCCTGATAGTGGTTATGCAGTGGGAGTAACTTCAAGGTCACTTGAAGTTTATACTAATGAGAACTGGATAAATGTTAAAAAGATCTTCCACTATCTGAAGGGTACACTTGATTATGGAATGCTCTGTAAGAAAGGATACATACAAGAAGGCATCCATACAGTGATGCTGATCACAGTGAAGATTTGGTCACTGAACATTTTACTTCCAGAGTTGTTTGTATTTATTCCAGTGGTGCAATCACTTGGCTGTGTCAAAAACAATGTTCAGTTGCAATATCTACTACAGAAGCAGAAGTGGTGGCTACAAGTGAATCAGCACGTGAAATAGTATGGCTGAAGCAATTGCTGAAATATCACAGAACTCAGAGCCTCCAGAGCTACAAATTGACAATGAAGCAGCAAAAAGATTGGCACAAAACCCAGAATACCATCACTGTACTAAACAAACGAGACATTTCTTTGTTCAGGAGCTAGTTACTGATGGAACTGTTGTGGTGAAGAGAGTGGCCATAGAATTTCAGGTAGCTGACATAATGACAAAACCACCAAATAAACCAAGACTTGAATCACTTTGCAAGGACATGGGTATCCAACAGATCATTGAATGAGGGACAGTGTTGAAAAATAAGGAAAATATTAACATTTTCGTGATCTGTTGATTGGTGGCAACACAGAATGTTTTTGCTTGTAAGTTCCCCCTACCCTTTTTATTTTTTCTTTTGTTCTACGCTTCCTGCCTTATTCTTCAGACATTGGATGAATTGTGTGAAGTTGTAATATTAATATACATTCCTTTTGTGTTTAAATAAAAGTTTTTTAATAAAATTGAAGACAGTCTGCCCAATAAAGTACCACCATTTATTATTTCTGTGTTCCAGACATTACACATTCTTGGCAACAGACCTTTCCTTTTAGGCTACTTGTTGCCAGAAGTTTAAAAAGTCCTTTTAAAAAACACGAAATATATATCCAATTAAAATTACAAATAATTTCTAAAAAGGAACTGGTGACATTCAGACATCTTTCTTGCGTCCATCATACCTTCGTTTGGGGTCATATTGCTTTTATCTACTAAAAAGAAGTGCTGGAATATGTAGATTTAATGAAAGCTGCCCCCTGGTGACAATACATGTAGATTTTCATCTGTAAATTCTTGAATTTTATTAAAAAACAATCTCCATTGGACGAAAAATTTACAGATAAAAGTTTTTGTTACTATAACAGTGTATTTAGAGGTTCTGACATCAAGTTTCAGCAATTTATTTACTTATTAATAAATGAATGTAAATGTTTTTGATGGCTAATCAATGATTTATTTGGTTTTAGGATGAAATACATAGAAGAAGAACTGGCAAAGCGTAAAGGAGTGGAGAATGCAGAAGAAAATGATCAGGATAATAAGTAAGATTTTACTTGTTAAAATGAATACTTAGAGATTTACAAAAATTTTGAAGAGACATAAATTAAAAATATCTTTGCATCACAGAAACATCATATAAGTATCCCTCGTGTAACATGGTAGTTATGTTTCAAAAAAGTGCTGTGTTATGTGAATTCATGCTATACGAAACAAAGGACTATTGCAAAACATAAGGCTAGGTTCAAAAAGTTAGCAAAAGTATAGTATTCTTTTTCTTCACTAAGAGAAATATGTTTAGTAAAGCAATCGATAATTTATTTTCAATCAATAATTAACTAAAAGTCACAGTTAAAAGTAATGTATTAAGCATTAATATTAATTTTAGTTAAACCAGAGTGTTTTCTTTTTACAAAGTATCGTCATCATCTCTGGTTTTTTGTTGATCATTGTCAGAAATATCAGCGGTCTTCATTTTTCTTATTTTTATCATAAGTTTTTTTTATAGATGACAAAAGAAAAATATATTATTAATTGAAAATTTGTTCTAGGAGTCCCTCATTTGTTCAAATACTGAGTGATTTTTCTCCAGAATTTGTGTTTGAATACCAAATTGATTGAGCTTGGAACAGTTTGAGTACCAAAATATCACTATTTCATTTGTACTTTTTACAAATGAGTATTTACAGTTAAAAACAGTTTAATAACCTAAATGTTAACAGTTTAATAACCTAAAATACCTAAAAATGTTTAAATTGACTTTATTAAATATGAAGATTAATCTATTAAACCAAAATATGGTGACAGTCTTAAATGCTAATGTCTGAAAGCAGTGTCAACAATACCTGGTTGATAGGATAGCTAGGAGAAGGAAGAAAAATTGCACTATCAGTTTTTATTAAAGTAAATCTTATGAAAGGCACAAAATAAAAAAAATTTGAAAATTTCAATATTGTAAAATCTATGGGTAAATTTGAGATGACACATGCTTACTTGAATAAAATAAATATTGAATAAAGGATTTTGCACTTAAAAATTTTGAAATTTTGTATGGATGATTTCCCAAATTCTCAATCCATGTTATAGCGAAATCAGAAACTGTGTTGTATGGGAGGATATCCCCAATTTTCCAACCATGTTAAAGTGAAACCGTGTTGCAGAAGTACCATGTTGTACAAGGGTTACCTGTAAAACTATAATCTTACAGCTGAGTTGACCTTTATTTTAATGCTCTTGTTTATCTTAATATGCAAAACATTAAAACTTTCTTCTGAAATCTGAAGACATTTTTAATTTATTGCTTCTTTTAAATTTTTGTGAATTTTAAGTATATTTATCATTCTGGATATTTTATTAATTGTTAAATTGAAATTTAAGATTAATAAATATAAACCATGAATCCCATAAGTTGTTTTAAGTGCATTGAGAATTTAAACAAGCATGGTCAAGCCGATCTGATAGCATGCTTCACAAAATCAAATCAAATATTAATTTTGTTAAAAATAAATTTTACAAATTCTTGAAATCAAATAGTTGTTGCGCATGTGCATGGACATGCACAATAAATGGATTAAATGGAACATAACACTTAGGTAGTGAAAGTGAAGTCATTGCACATGTGCATGGAAATCTGACATGTGGACAACGTTAGGACTTTTGTCTGTCTGACTGACAGACAAAAGTCCTAACATAAGCATTTTACCACTATAGTGGAGCGTACTAAAAAGTAGCTTGACATTACAAGTGTGAATAATAAGTTAAATATGAAAATTAAAACAAATGGTTTTTGCCTTTATTATATTTATCCAGGACAATGAAAATTCTTATCTTTGTTTACATATTTAAATTACTTTTCTCTTTCATTATATATAAAGCTGTACAGGCCTAATTCACTCACTGATATGAAATGTTCAAGCATTTTACCAAAAATATAAATGTCTTGTTTCTTTGGACCATTTCTCACATTACCAGAAAAATAAGACTTAAAAATGTTTTGTTTTTTAAGATGTTAAAGTTTAATGCTGTGTGCAAGATTTAGCTGATTTCAAGCACTGTTTGCATGTTGAATCTCTTCTAAGTGAATGGCCTAGAGTTTATTATAAAAGTCTATTTTTAGAACAAATGACATTGCTTTTATACCCTGGGTTACTTAAATGTATAAATGGTTGACCCATAATAGAAGCTCTCAGAAAGGATGTCCTTCAGAAATTAGCTCACAGGATAATACTCACAGGAGTAATGTCATACCATCAAATTTATAGCCTAAAGCTGATAATTAAGTTAAGCAAGCAATTTGAGAAGCATTGTTCAAGTTTTATATAAATTGTGATAATACATTACAGAACAATTGTAAAAATTATACTATTATATTTTTTATTATAATTTGATTCTACATTATGAGATGTTGATATCAAATGACAAAGGTCAAAGCTTGCTGTTCTGGAGACCTGGTTTTAGGTTTGGTTGGAAGGAAGTTCTGATGGATTGTCTGTCCCAGAAATATTGGGTTTTATTCCTTACCGACTGGCTTCCTCTATTGTGAGCTTGGCCAAACTTGTTATGGGCATGGCTAAAAAGGTATTTTTTTAGTTTCCTCAGGATGGATAATTTAAAAAATAGATACATGAATAAAAATAAAACACGATTTATTGTAAAACTTTTTAATAGTTTCAGGTGATTTTAAAATTAATCCATATTTTTATAACATTTAGCATTGTTTATAATAAATACTTTTATCAGTTAAATCTAATGTAAAAATTATTTTTTATAGAGTAATGAAACCAGAAGATGTTCTGTTTGAAGTACCAGAGCATTTAAGACGATCGTCATCTAAAAAATCAGAAGAAATGTTGTCCAATCAAATGCTATCGGGAATACCAGAAGTTGATCTAGGAATTGAGTAAGCAAGATATTTTATATTTATATAAAACTACAGACAAAACATTTAACTGTTTCTTTCAAATCTTAATCTATACTAATATTATAAAGAGATAATGTTTGTAAGTAAGTAAGTAAGTTTGGATGTAGCAGGTAATCTCCGAAACTATTCATCCGATTTCAAAAATTCTTTCACCAATATTTAGAATGGAACTTCAGAGTGGACATGGACTGTATATTATTCTGGTAAACATTCATATAAATTAAAAGATATAATCTAGGTTAAGGCTTTTATGTCCAACAGATGGCACTACGAGTATGATGCCCTAAGCTTGCTTTTCTGTGAGGCATTATTCTTTTCTGTGAAAATGAACTAAAGCAAATCATCTTCTATCTATATATCTATATAAATAAAAATGTAATGTTCATTTGTACCAATTCCTTTGAAATTTTGACACAACGCTGCATTCGAATACGCACATGTTTTTATATAATATACATGTCGAAATTCCCCCCACTGAAGGGAGATGGTTAGGATTAAGAGAAAAAACTGTAAAGAACTCTGCTTCTATTTATACTATTTTAGATGTGGTTTCTTGCATTTTTATTGCGTTTTAATAGGGTACGTCAACAGAATGTACACTAAGAAGGGATTTTCTGATATTTCCCCTGCGGGGGAGAGGGACAAAATTAAGGCTTACTGTGAATAACTCTGCTTCTATTTATACTATTTTAGATGCGGGTTTTTGCATTTTTGATTGTGTTTTAATAGGGTACGTCAAGAGAATGTACACTAAGAAGAAATTTTTCGAAAAATTTCCCTCCCCCTACAGGGGAAGTGTTATACATTTATAATAGATACATTTTGAGCCACAACAACGCGTGGTGGGGTCTGCTAGTCCTATATAAATTTAATTTGTGATCATATGAAATAGTAGCAATTTTCTGCACTTTGTCTTTTGTGTGAGCATTTTTACACATTATATTTCTGTAATATCTTCATGCTATGTGCTATCCATCTAATTGTGTAAAAATTTTAGTAAAAAAATATTTCTGTTTATCACAGGCCCTGAAATCACTACCTTAGATGTGTGATTGCTTACAGCTTTTTGTTATTGCATGCAACACATGATTGTTTGTGATTTTCCACTCTGATTTTATTTTTGATGACGCAGTGTTGGTAAAAATGATATTGGAGAAATTTTACATGATTGCCACAAGAGGTTGTTATGATGTGATGGAACTTTGTCAGCTATGCATGATGTAAAGACATGGCTGTCTGCAATTTGCTACAACCTTGAACACTTGTTTCCATAAAATTGTCTGGGGTTCTACAACCTTCACAAATTTAAATGTTTTTGTGCTTTATTTTGTGTCTGAAAAATACAAAAAAATCATTTTCTGGTCCTTTATAGACTTCATGCATTCCCATCATTTATCTCTGGTTGAACTCTAATTGTTTCATACTAGCTCACTTTATTGCGAAGTTTGAAGAACTTCTTATGGGAGTTTGCTCAATGACATTGTGACATTATTCTTTAAACAAAACAAGATCATATAAACTAAACAATATAAGATGTTAAAATATTTTATGTGCAGAGAAGACACATTACAGGATTTCCCAGAATTGTGAAGTTTGAGGTATAACAATTATGTGCAGCATAATTATGCACGAAAAATATGATATCTAAATCATCATCATAACACTCCTTCAAAAAGAATTTAATACTTTTTCAAGGAGTAACATATTGTGAATTGTGAAATAATTTAATACTTTTTATTTTTCAACTTTAAGTTATCTTATTTTCTTATTTCTTAAAATTTAAAAAACATTTTGTAAAGCATTATTCTTAAAGAAGTCTAAGAATAAATTAAATATACTATGATGAATATACATTATAATTGAAATAAAAAGTACAGGTATACCTCGCCTTACGTCGGTTATTGGTTCCAGGAAAACGACGTAAGTCGAATTTACCTGTCTTCGAATCTACTTATCACTAGGAAAGCATTTTAAATAATATATGGTTAATAAAAATCTATTTTAAGCTTACAAACAAATAAATTTTAGTTTTTAATATAGTACAAAAAAAATAATCTAAATTTACGAATGCGTGTACTGTAAATACAGTACATACTTGTATATATTTTAATATGATTTTATGTGCTTTAAACGTTTATCTAGTGATATTACGACTTCAATATTTGTGGCGGACAGACGTAAAGTCGAATAAAATGACTTAAACTTGATTTTTATTTTTCCATATACTTTTTTAACAAGCGACGTATAATCGGGAACGACGTAACTCGAAACGACGTAAGTCGAGGTATGCCTGTACTTATATATATAAGTACTATTTAATTCAATATATATATACATACATATAAAATAAATATAACTAACCTGATAATTATTTTAAATACCAAACTGCCAGATTTTTTATTGGGCCATAAGGCTAAACCGAGGGGGCTGAAGCGGAGAGCTTCTCCCCACTTATCGGCTTGGCTGTCAGAGAATGGCTATAGGAGGGCAAAAAGGAGAGGGAGGCGTAATGAAGTCGTGATGAGGTGTCGGCAGTATACAAAGATAGTCGTAAAATTTAAGAATAACACATTTAATTATAAAACAAATAATACAAATACATGAGAATACATTAACGTTAAACAAAAATAAGTAAATAGTAATGATAATATCTCTGCGTCGCGACAATATCGGACATCCGACGTTTGTCTATCCCGTTAGTGGGACCATGCCGAAGGTCCTCGATTCAATAATTCTAAGTCCCGCGTACATATAGAGAGACTATTTTTTAAGTCTCCAGTATATCGAGAGACGATTAATTTCTAAGTCCCGAGTATACCGAGAGAAGATTAATTTTAAGTCCCAATTATATTGAGAGAGAGGGAAGAAAAAATAATCTAAGGCTTTACCTCTTTTAGATCGGCGATCAGAAACCTCGAACTCCTTCCAGAGTAGAGTAGGCACTTGTAGTCTTCTTCCCCGATGATCACTTCGAGTCCTTGGACTGTTCCCCTTTTATACTTTTTTAGCGTGGGAAATCTCGGGGGACTCTGTTGACGCAATATGTCAGTTCTCCCGATTTATGACAGTCTCCCCCGTCATGGGTGACGACACTATTGACATCTTATGGCGAATTCAACACTTATTGGTCAAGAGATGTCTGGCCAGTGCACTAAATGTGTCATCACCTGGGGAGATGACTGACCGTTTTTGGTAAGGTTTCTCACCGTATAGTTGACCCTAATAGGTGACCTTTTGTCCACTCTCCACCCAGGAACAAATGTTGGTGTCTGCGGTTTAGCCAATTAGTGAAATATTGTAATAGAGTAGTCTCCTGGGGAGAGAGTGATTTCTTCTGCGGTTGCCTCGGACGACTTCGTCCGTCAAGAAGGTCATCTCCAGTAACTACGCACTTTATTGTCCAGGGTCTATTCCTCGGGCAACGGAGTGATAACGGGAGAAATAACGGAAATAATGATTAAAGAAACATACAATTTTGCTCTGTAGTTAATAAAATTCTCTTAAGAGAGTCAGATTTTCACATAAGCAATTACTAAGTAATTTGGCAGGTGATATGCTACCAGGCCATTATCTCTTGTTAAATATAACAATTATAAATAAGTAAGTAAAATGTAATTTTTAGAATATCCTGGAAGAAAATATCATCCCAAGTGGGACTCAAACTTGCAACTCTCACTAACTGTGCAGATGTCTTCCCAATTATACTGTCTGGACCTTCATCTCATTTTCCAGACTAATCACGTAATATTAGATATAATTTGTGACTGTTATATCGGTGTACTGATTGATGTGGAATGCATAATAGTATCAGTATAGGTAAATTCTAAAGTGATTTCATTAAATGTATATAAGTATGAAACTTAATATGATCAGTTATTTTAATTCTGTCTTGTGGGCTCAAAGAAGATCTGTTTTCATACCCATCTTGGGTTTGGTCAGATCCATGATTGGGGTGACAGGATGGTGAAGGATAGGGCTCAACACATTCGAGACAAGTCTTTCCTAAAAATTGCTGGGGGTTTTTCAAACTCTTGCATTTGTTTCTGGATTCCTTATAGTGGGAGGCTGATACCTTCACCACTTTGGACATTTGGCCATTGAATGTAATCAGTTACTCGATGCATCTCTATTAATCATTCATATTAAATTTAATATTTATTAGTTTTTCTATATATATTTATTGTCACATTGTTCTGAATCAAACTATTTTTTATTATTCAGTGAAAGAATAAGAAATATAGAAGCAACCGAAGAAGAAAAACAAAAATTATTAAGAGAAAGAATGATAAAGAAAGAGAGTGGTACTTCATTTGTTCCAACCAACATGGCTGTCAATTTTGTTCAGCACAACAGATGTAAATAAATTTGTTTTAATTTATAAGTTTAGAACAATGTTATTTTACATTTTCAGGCATCTAATATTAAATAGTTAATTTAATTAACATATATCAGTAATATTATATAATTCAGTGTAGGTTAAAACATATTTTATATCAATTCTGATTAATATTTTTCTGTAATATATATTAATCATATTAATCATAACCAAACACATGTCTCAAATGGTATTAGTTCTTGTGAGATGTGACTTTCCAAAGACTAAGTTAAAAACCTAAATATCACTAAACCCTTACAAAAATGGTTAAAAATCCCAGAAAAAGTAATGCGACAGTCTCAGAAATGTTGGATTTTCGATGCTGTAAGGATGATTGTGTGTATGAAGATGTGTGTATCAAATTCAGTGTTGATTCTGAAGAGCCTAGCATAGAAAATGAAGAGATTATGACTTTCATACCGCAGCAGACAGTGATATACAGGGTGTTCGGAAATTCCTGTTACAAACTTCTGGGACTTGTACAGGGGAGTGAGTACATAATATTTTGATTAGGAACACATGTCCGGAAATGTAGCATTTTCGTTTTATGACGGTTTCAATTCTGATGTTTAACTCTTCCACTTCTGTTGAGAGAAAGAGAAAAGTCTCAGAGTTGCTTGTCTCGGGTCTTCTATTATTTAAAAAAAAAAAAAATCTGTGGGTGAGCATGTGGAAATTAAGATGTCTTAGATTTGATGGCATCTTGTTTTGGACTTTCTAGAAAATTTTTTTTGTAGAAAGTCCAAAACAGTTGAAAAAACTTATTTGTTCTGGAGTTTTATCAGTCAAATGTCTCTAAATGTTAGGATATGAAAAAAGCTGTTACCTTACGGATTAGCCCAACCAAACATGTATCTGTGCACATCTGAATATATTCTTTACTCATTTTTTCTTTATCTAATTATCACCCACCTTGGATTATCAAGCTTGGTTGAATATATTTAATAAAATTTATCATTGTTTATTTTAAAATAAACAGTTTATTAATTAAAAAGCTATCACTGCAAGACTCATTAGCATTGATTTTATTGAACTAGTAATTTTTAATGTATTAAAATTGTAAAATAAATAATTCTAAAAATAACTGAATAACAAATTAAATAATGTTTTAAATTTACATCATTCTTTTTGTAGCTTCAATTTTATTTAAGAATAAATTTACTAGTTATAATTTAAGTTAATTACTTTACAATTGTACAGTTTGAAATTGAATTAGCATTATTTATTAGATATCATTTACTAATAGTTTACTAGTGGATAGTAAAGAAATTAATTAAAAATTAGTGTATTTTATAGGAATTTTTTAAATTGGAAAATATGCAAGTACATAGTTTTTTAATTCTTGCAGTCAATATTGAAGAAACTGACATTCCCAAACCAAAACGACAGAAGAAAAATAGACCTCAACCAGTCGTAGTAATTGGAGATGCAGATCACTCTCTAGGAATTGCAGATAACAGTAAGTGTGTAATAAAGTATTCAGAATTAAATGTATTGTTGAGAGTGTCACTTCTATAGTCAGTTTAATGATATTATTATGTACAGATGCTTTTCCTACTTACAAACAGGTTAGGTTTCTGAAGTTTTACCATAAATCAAAATGTTCATAAGTTGAAAAATAAGATAGAAAGTACATTTGTATGCAGGATAACTATGTATTGTTAGTATTTGATCCTTCAGTATACTTGATAGAATACATTATACTCATTTACCACTTGCTACGGCTTAGTAACAGATGTTTCAAATGCGGTTTTTCTTCACTTAAACACACTTAGTTTTATAATGTCAAGTTTAGTTTCCACAATAATAGAACCACACTTCTTGCATTTATTTCAACTGTTAGATTTACTATTACATTTGGATTCATTTTTGAAGCACTGATTAGAAAAGATTATGAAAATTGCAAACAATAGCAAAAAAACCATTATTTCAATGTTATTTACTTTGGTACCACCCAATGAATAGTTATGGAATGTCAAAATTTGCAAAAGCAAAAAATGACAATATACAAAAGAAATAAATCCACATTATTTATTTATTACTAGCTGAAGACTGACTTCGACACAACTGCAAGAGCCAAGAGCAATTCAGAATCCACGCAAAATTTATATCTTAGACATATGGTCATTTAGACAATTGTTCATAAGTTGAATATTTGTGAATATAGGAGCTCCCCTATTAACAATGGCTGTAATTAGTTTATTAGAAAAATTATTTTTGATTCTAAATAATTGATTGCTCTTGTTAATGGCATTGTACTTGTACAACAATTAATTTTGAATGTAATAGTGTATTGGACAATAAGCATTTTATATGAGATTTATATTTTACTAGCTTACCCGTCGCGCATTGCTGCGATCTCAGAAGAAACAAAATTCAAGCAAACTCATTATGATAAAATTAAGTTTACATTTTATCATTTTAATTGAAACTTTTTATTATTATTCATTTTCATCGGGAAAACATTTCAAAGTGTCATTTCAATTTTATTTATTTATTGGAGTGCTTTGTGGATACACGAAATTTTTTGTTTTATCGTCTGGTGCGTACACGAATAAATCAGAAGGTTCTCCGACGCGTGAGTTGGCCACATACAGTTGTCCATGTGAGAAGCACGGTTTCTTTAAATTTAGCCCACATACTCACAGAGATTGTTAGAAGTGCGATATTCCCCATTTTTATATATATTTTTTAATCCTTTATAATTTTGATTATTTAATTGCTCCTTCCTCTTTTCCTTGGCATGTTGTGAAATTTCTCATAGTTGGATAATAAACTGTTTTATTGTAATTTGTCTTTTTAAATTATTTTGAGTTGATATTAAAATTTGGAAAAGGGGGATCCCTAGATCGGTAAAATAGGTGAATTTTACTTTCTACAACTTCGGTTGTTGTTCGGGATACAGTTAAGGTTTTAACAAAGTTCGAGCGATTACGTAATTAGCAAAAAAAAAGTTGAAATAAAGTGATTAAACAAAAATTATTACAAATATCCCTAAATAATAAATGCATATATACAGATATTTTTTGGAGGGGGAAATGGTCTTCACAATTTGAAATCGATCGAACACACAGTGCTCGAATGCTCGTATAAACGCGCACCATCTATCATAGGATAAATGTACTATGCAAAAAACCTTTGCGGGAGTGTATTAAAAAACTTTCCAAAGCTTCATGGCAATCGTACTATGCCAGAAACCTTCGCGGGAGTATATTAAACAACTTCCCAAAGTTTCATGGCAATCGGATAAACGGTGTGGTAATGCATGAAGGACAGACAGACACACATACATTCATTTTTATATATATAGATAAGTTACAGCAACCAAATTTTTTTGGGATTTGTAGTGAATAAATTTTAAACTATACATATTAAAGAACAATATAATCTACTGAATAATAATAGATTAGTACGATTAGTTATAAGTGAAGGATTTTAAGCAAGAAAAGAAGTGATGTGCACTTTGAATGTGCCATTGTATATTTTTTTATTCTTTTATCAAGTAGTAATGTTGAACAAAGATTAAATCAAAGAACCTTAAAGTATTCTTCAAAACTATCAATTACTTGCCAAGGGAGGAATACCATCAGCTCTACCATTGACAAATCTTGCAATGTTATGTCTCGTTGCATTGAAAATATCATCTTGTGTACAAAAGCATTTTCTACTCAATGGTTCTATTGCTTTGGTTTATCATAAAGTTAAAAGGTCTGGTGAGTAGAGTGGGTTCTCTAAGAATTCTCATCTCCAGCATTATGAAAGATTCTTGACACTTTGCTGTTTGCCATATGATATTGTGAAGCAGTTTTGTATGTTTATCTCTAATTGCACTATATAGGCTATTCTGCAGGTAGGTCTTGTTGTATACTACATTTGCAGTATCACCACATAAAACAAAATGACATAAAATAACCTCTTAATGTTGTATGTGAAGATTATTATTAACTTTACAGGGTATGGTTTTGTTAAAACTTGTGTTTTTGCAGTGATTATGGATATTGTCACTTGGCAAACTGACATTTAAGCTTGAACTCAATAGGCTCCAGCCTCTGTTTCAACGATGGTGTGACTGAAGGGTTGGCACCTCCTGAATGTTTTGTCAGGATGACATTACCGCATCTCGGTTGACACGGAAACCTAACTAATTCACGCGAGCGGTTGCGTAACGAAGCGATCAGATTCTGGATGGAGGGAGTGATAGATAGTGCACTGGAAGTGATTCTTTCAGAGACTAGATTAACATAACAACCGTTTAATGGGAAACACTAGGAAATACATATCTTACAATATGTCGATAGATTTGATAGTAAGGTTTAAATGACCATTCTTGAGAGAGTGAGAACTTACAATAGTTTGCGTGGCAATAAATACCTGGAGTTTGGTTAATTCTTGGATTGCTGATAATTGATAATCAAGTTCTTGACTTAATCCAAAGATCTGGCGATGACATTAATTCAAGTTTCTTTGGCACTTAATAAATCCTGTTGCAATTAATCCCAATAGGAGGCATGAAAAAAGTTTGGTTGCGATCTGACGACTTCTATCCAGAAGAACAGCGGTGACTGTGTCAAAAATCCGTTTGTAGCTATATTCATTTGACAACTTTGCAATAATAGGTCGGAAGGTTATGTGAAAGTGTCTTTTGGCAACTGAGAACTTGCTGAGTGATTAACTCCCAGGTGTGAAATTTGATACTTACTCGATAAAATAGTATTGTTAATGATTTAGGTCAGGCTGTAGGTTAATAAACATGGCTGAGTCTCACAGAATGATCCTATTTAACATATTCTGGTTGATGTTAAAGCAAGTGCTGCTAAGTGATGCCGTCGAGGGCATTGCTAAACCAATTTTCTTGAAGGGCTGCATGCAGCGATCCTCACTACAATCTCACTTATTTGAGGTTAAATTTGCAGCACTCTATTTCAGTTGCTTTTCTTGCTTCAAAAAAGATTCCTCTACAGTGAAAATGTGCAAACTCGGAATTCTTATATGATGTGAAAGTAAGGTTATAAGGGTTCGATCACTGTGAATTGATATTCTGTTTGTTCAATTTTTCTTTTAAAATACTTGTTAGTAAAATAAAATCAGATGTGACAAAACTTGTATATTTAAAATATTTTAATATTTACTTAAGAAGCTGCATACACTAAATTTAAATCATTAATTTTACCTCCCAAACAAGGCATTGCATTGCAAAAAATTATTTTAAGAATGTTTTGAATTAAATAATTTGCAAAACATTCTAACAGCTGCACTGAGATTTTCCATTTAGGAATTGCAGTGTTTCTTTGCGTGTGTTGTTAAAAGACCTTCAGTAGTGATTGCAGTTCTCTCAGCAAAAGCAGCAGAGCTGAATTTAACAACAAGCTCATTGTCTTTTCTTTTTGTATGGTTTCAGGTTCACACCACTCACTCAATAACATGTACTTTTTCATTTCATTCAGTTCACACAATATCCACTTTGCAACAATTTTGTGCATGTTTAGATCGAGTCATAAAATTATATGCATGGTTGCCCAATACTCCTTCTACAATCGTTGCCTATCATATGAAGTGCTTTGGGTGATTATGGCTCAAGTAACATTGTTATGAACAATCACATGGTATGTACTATACATTCTCATACATGTTGAAATGCTTCTAATGCTCCTGCTTACCTTGTGACAGTGTTGTATAGTAGAGTACAATTATGTAAAGCTTCAGTAATCTCTGCATGACATTCTCTTGTACTGTTTTACCATGGAGCACTTCAAGTAAGTATACTGTTCTGGTTGGCTAGCATTTATTCACAATTTGGCACATTGACTTTTCACTAAATTTGCTTCGGTATCCTTTAATGTTTGCACCATAGTGAATTTTTGTAATACCCAATGTTTGCATTACTAGTATGTAGTAATGGCATTAGATACAAGAGGTAATTTTTACTCAATAACATGTTTTAAAATTTGTATATACACATATAATAACGAAAAGAACGTAATCACGGATTAATTTTAGACTGTTACGCCAAGACCCCACTAGCGTAAAAACGAATGTAAAACCCCTCGTCATAAAAGCTTTTAATGACGTGACCATGATATTTTACGCCTGAGGAGGTCATAAAACCAGCGTAAAAGCGAGTTGAGAAGTGTTCAACTTTTGACACGAATATGGCCACAAAACGGTACCATCCACCAATCAGAAGTCAGTGAAATCTAGGTCATTGTGACACTGTGCGAAAATGGTGGAAAATGAGCTTTTGTGTATGTTCTCTTGTGGTTACTCTAGAATAGATACGGAAAGATTTATCAAAAACATCTGAAAGTATTCATGTATCTATGACAAGAGATATCCTGATTATAATAGTTGATGCCTAAAACATGCAATACGGACAGCCAAAGTAAAATCTTTTAATTTAGAAAAGTATATAATAAAAAAACTAAGCTTATAAGTGCTATATATTATCTTAATAATACAATAATAAAAGTTAATATATGAAAGTAAAGATACTATTTTTACTACATTTGTAATTATAGTACAGAAAAAACTTGTAGAATATAATTGTTGTCTTTATATGGATATATCATGTATACAACCGTCTTCCGTTTCCACCAATTCACATGTGAACAAGTATTTACTTCGACACTTGGGACAGCACCGTCACCGTAAAAACTTGTCTAGCCAGACCTCCACCACAATCCAGACGCAAACTCAAATAGGTCACGTCATTAAAAGTTTTTATGGTGAAGATTTTTATGCTAGTGGAGTCTTGGCCTTAAAAGCAAATACTTTTGAAGTATAGTATTATAGATATAATTTGATTATCACATACTGATATTCATATATGTATATTCATTGATAAAGTTTATTGTTTGAATATAAATTTTTAATTTTGATTTTGCAGTTCACAAGTCGAAGAAAGCTGAAGACGAAGAGAAAGCAACAGACGATTTTCATTTTGAAAAGTTCAAGAAACAATTTAGAAGATATTAAAAAAATCTTCATTATATTATTCATCATTGTCATCATCATGTTTAAGTGTAAATAGTGTATAAAATACTTTATAATTTTTGATAATGTCAAGCATTTTTTGTCTTTTAATAATTGAAAGACTCTTAGCTTTAATCAATTCACATAATAATAATTTAATGAAAATTTGGAGGTATTAAAATATTTATTGAGATATCAAATCTCTTGTTTTCATTAAATAATTTTATTTTAAAATTTCTACCTTGATAAAGTACTTGAATCTATATACAAATTTTTTCTATATTCATAATTCATTATGCTTATTTGAATTATTAATGAACAATGGATAAAGTTATTAAGGTAGTTCTATATAACTCCCATGCCTTTTGTCAAAATTTCTGAAATTTTGTGGGAAAGTTTGCCTATTAGGAGCATTGATGCTACTAAATTTTGGCAGTTAAAGGTCAAGGAGGTCATATGTATCTCCAGTAGGATGGGATTTAATAATTTACAGTTTATGAATACAGTTTAATTAAATAAAAAGTAGAATCTACTTTTCCGTATATTTAAACACTGTACCATTTAAAATACCATGTAAAATACAAAACCACTTATAAAATTATATTCAACAAAGTACTCTATGATTAGCATTCTTAAGTTAGGTATTGATGTCATAAGAAATGTTTATTATGATATATTTAGAGCTGTATGCTCATCTAATAACTCATAGTAATTAATGCTCAATCTGGAATAGAAATTATATAAGTTCTCACTGTCATTTAAAAAATACAGTACCAACAATTCTGTCTGATATATCGATACTGTATAATGTACTGAAATGGTAAGGCCTATTCACGCTTCTGTAATGTAATAATTTTAAAATGATTAATTGTATCATTTACTTACACAATTGATTAATTGATGAAGAAATTTAATCCTCAGAATGAACATTTCTTTTAATTTATGTTCTTTTATTTTCTTTTTTTCTTTAAGAATATAAATAATTGCTTAAAATGCTACTTCCTTATCGAATAATGCAAAAATTACATTTATTTTTACAAGAAAAAGTTACTGGTGTTACCTTTCATTGTGTAAAGTTTAGATTTGTTTTGGATTTCTTTTTTTAACTTTTGCATTTAAACATTTTAATTTTACTTTGTTTTTTCATTTTGTGGTGATATCAATTTTCCTATGTATAAATAATTAGAAAAATATTTGAAATTTTGTATTTGTATATATTTAATATTGATAACAAGAAAATTTATTCCACTCACATTAAAATCTTATATTTTTCATTTGTGAAACATAAACAACTAAATCTTAAATTTAGTGAAAAATATGAATTTCTATTTAAAAATTTCAAATATGCTTAAATTACCTAGAACCTACTTTACTACTAGATTGCTATGGTTACTAATTTACTACAAGATTACTAGGCTTAATTTAGATACCTAATTAATATTAGTTATTGATTCTGCCCAATATGTAGAGTGAATAATGTTCGGTAATAACAGAACATTTCTCTTTATGTGTGGAAATCTTGTATGTGCACGTCAACCTAAACATTTGCATACTCCAACACAAAACATTCATGAACATATCCTTTACATGATGCAATTTCTTGTATAGAAAATGAATGCTCTGGATATTTAGTGAACTGTTTTATTCCCATGAAAATTCTTTGCAAGAATTTCACTCAGTTCCATGACAGTCGAGAAATACATTCCATTTATTTTCTATAAAAATGAAAATAAATGTGAATTTCTACAATTTGAAATGTCTAGAACTTGAAATGTGTCTTCTCCCTATTTTATGAAAACTAATTTTACAATTTTGAATTTAAAACAGTTTTAATTTGATATCAACTTGATTTAATTATAGACTTAAAAATAAATCTCATTAAAAATTAAGTTAATAGAATTTTTATTATAAAGGTTATGTACAGGGTAATTCAAAAGTCACAGAAATTTTAAAAACTTAATAACTCATTAATTAAAATTATTAATAACAAATTAAACTCCTACAAGCTTCAGTAAGATATTGCAGTTTTTATAGAAATTCTTAGAAGTGGTAATTTTTTAGGTGTAATTTTAATTTTAGCACTAAAATAGTTACATTTCTTGCCATAGATGGCGTTACATTCTGATTCCATAGATGGTGAACATTATCTTATTAAAAGAAATAATAATGCAATTTACTGTAGAAAAATCGATGGAACAAATGACAGAAGGTTCTTGAATTGAAAATTAAAAGAAATTAGATGAATATTCACGTACTTAATTTACAGTATTCATTTAACACGTTAAAATTGCAACTAAACAATTTACCTACCCTTATGACAGTCTCTTAATTATGAAAAATCCTCCAATTGTTATTCCTATTAGTCTTCCTTCGAATCTCTTCATGAAATCGATTACAGATTTACAGATAATCGATTTCGATTATCTGTAAACAGAAATGCTTAAATATGCCATTACCTATAATAGTATATAAACACAGCAATTCAAAAATTAAGCCAGAACATACTTTGTATTTATATTCTAAGCTCAAATTTGCATCCGAAAATTCCAACAGAAGTGAAGTTATCGTAAAACTGAAATTTAATTCAAAATATAATTTTATTTCTAGTCTAAATTATTTTTTGGTTCCATAAATAATGGGCATACATACCCGAGAAACCAAATTTGATAATGCCCAAGTTGTCGAAAATTGATCCCGAGAGATAAATTAAGAATAATACGACTTAAAACGATTTGAGTTTCTTCATTCATACCGATAAAAATTATCGCATACAAGAGAAAGCTGGAGTCATACATAAAATTCATGTAAACAATTGGAATAAATACATTCCATCTGTCACTAATATGTTGAATATACTACCGTATTTCAAAATGGTTTTCGACCAAATTTTCTATAAATTCATTGAGATGCAGATGATGTTTCTTTGCTTTGGCCAGTTTCTCTGATAAATGCATCAACCTGTTTCTTATAATAACAAGTTGTACAACACATTAGAATTTACAAGGTCGTCGAATAGCCAATATTGCATCAACAGCATGGTAAAATATAATCCAGTGCAAGAATTGGTTTTACGGATGTTATTGGAGTCATTAAATATTGAATGCAGTGCGTATTTCGTCATTTAATTATCTCACTCTGCGTCGTGTCTTGTTCTTTCAGTTAAACAATTTTAGTTTTGTTCATGTGAAATTCATCCATTGAAATAATATTTGAGTTGTTTCTATTCTCCTCGTTATAACAAGCATTTTATAACGAGGATTGGATAACATGAAATATTATACAGAGGTAATGTAAACTCGGTAATGCGTTAATTTCTAACTAAATATTCGTAAAATGATTATAACCATCCATTTTTGAAAATTTGGTTTAGAATAAACAAAAACGATGGAATCGATTACATGTTGCATGGTTTGTAATAAATAACTTACAAAAGTCTTCTCAGAAAACGTAGCACACATTGTGAAATAGGGCACATATTTCGTTATTACAGTAAACATTTTCCCAGAAGTTCATGAAGTTATTCCGAAATTACAGTGAAAATTTCGGAACTTTTGAACATTGTGATCGAAAACACAACTTGATTCGTGTTTTGCGATGTTTCGTACACTCTATCTTCTAATGTCGTATAGTACTATGAAACATTATCATCTAAGATATATTTGACTAGATTCATAAAGAGTATAATCAAATAATTTGATCAATATACACGACCGATTACATTTGAGAGTAGCAGGGGGCCACTGGGTGAACCCTAATGACCACTTAATCTGCACGGGTCGGAAAGACCCGTTCTCGGTTGTCGGATGGCATAGGAGGGCTAAAAATATGAGTGGGGAGGAGTCGGAAGTCGTAATGAGGTGTCCAAAAGACTACACGGGTTTAAATTAACGAACACATTTAATAAACAACAAAGAAAATTTACATAAAGATCTTAAATATAACACACTCATATCAAGATATAAATAGGTATTCTAAAATCTATTCTAAAAACTAACGCTAAAGTCCGAGAGAGAGCTCACGTTAGAGAGAGATAAATAATAATGTCAAGGGTTTACCTCGAAGGCAACGTTTTCCAGTTATAGGGCGTTGATAAAACACTCTGTGATCGTCGTCGTCTACTCTGTGGTGTCTTTTGAAGGCTATGTGGAGCGATGTCCTTCTCAGGTCGTGCGGCTATGTCCCGATGCGGTGTATGCTCCGTCGCTCCCAATCTGTAGAGTTCTTCCTTGGCGAAGTTCTTCGGAGGTTTCTTAGGATAACCTCTCCGAGGAGTAATTCCGTCGTATATGGAGAGAATAGAAAATATTCAGTTTTTGCCTTTCATGGAGCGGCGATTATGAGCTGCTTAGATCCTGAGAGAGCTGGAAGATCGTGCATCGATGTTTCTTCCCCGACGATCGCTCTTGAGGTGTCCAGAGGGGTTTCTTCGGCGTTAGCTCCTCGGCTCAGCGCCCCGAGTAGAAAATCCGACCCCTTTATATACCCGATCTGCGTGGGAAAAATCTGAGAATTGTTGACGTCTTTTGACAGTTCTCCCTGATTTATGACAGTCTCCTTATCTCCTTATTTGGTCATTTATTTCGTCCGGTCGCTCGGACCTATGGGGGTCACGTGATATCGTGGTCCCTCGTCGATGACCTTCGGACGATGAAAGTCACCCTCGCTAACTACGCAGTTAGTGTGAAAATAAAGACAGCGTCCGTATTCTCACACATTTATATACGATCAATCATCCATAACTCCTGTTTTCTCACAATACCCGTGTATGAAAGATTCAACGATTGAACATTTTATACTCTATTCAAAATAAATTAACTGGTCATACAGACATCAAATTAAATTGAATAATTTTATTTTAATTACAATTGAACGTACAGATACATAATTAAATTTTACTTCCTAATTTACACATAATGTCATTCCGCTGACACAAATATACGTTTAGTAAAGAATATTTTAATGTATTCTTTCGGCTCTTCTTATGAATTTCTCAGCGCGATTACGATATTTTTCGGTATTTTGTGATCCATATTTCAGGAATACATTATCAAATTGATGAATATCGCCTCCCGTTGTGACGTCAATATTCGCAACTAACACAGCCACGTCCTGACTCATAGAGTCGATTTCATCATACAATTCACTTAACTGTAAAAAGAAATAAAATATTAAAAATATAAAATTTATATAAATTAGATGCATAAATTAAAAATTAATAAAAATAAGTTAATTCAATTTCATACAATAATCTGGAATAATAAAATTATGCTTGTTGTTTGTATTCTTCATTGTAATTTCTTACAAAAATTTCAAGTTTAAACCTTCAATAATTGCAATAGAACACTGAAAACTAATATGACTTCTATTTACTATCGTTATTTTTGCGTGCCAACTGAAGTCATACAAACAACAAGAATTACAGTTGTCACCACTGAACTTAGAGCAGTTAACACGCCATCCAATAGATAGGTTTAAAAAAACGGTAGCTTTGATTCATTGCATGGATGTTTTACATAATTTAAAACAAATATACAGTAATTAATCTTTATTTTTGCTAAATATCAACTTGATATTTTGCAAGTTTAACAAAATTGAGCCAGTAAAACTTGAGTCACAGGCATTAAAAGACAGACCGCTGGGTTACCCCGTCTCAAAGCATAGACCAGCTGATAAATGGTTTTTAAATAATACAGTTACAGTATTTCTGAAACAACTGATTATTTTAGCCTCACTTTAGATTCTTTTGGTCTCATTTTAGCCTGCAGTGGTCAGGTGAATGATATAAGGTGCTTTTTTAGTTTTATTTACGAACTTTTGCATTTTGTCTGCAATGGCCAGAGGAAAAGCTGTTTCAGAAGATTTAAGGACTGCTATCATTGCTAAACACAATCGTGGAATGTCTCAGAGAGCTATTAGTAAAGAGCTAATGCTAAGCAAGACAACAGTGCAACAGATTATTGTTCATTAAAGTAACCACAGTCATGTTATCCTCAACAAAGCTGCTGGACATCAGCGAAAAACTTCAAAAATCGATGATATGAGTTTGAAAAGAATCGTTGGATGTAACTACAATATGGTGGAATGATACAACTGGAAGGAATGTATCTGTTTCGACAACTCGCAGGAGACTGCAAGAAATGCATTTCCGGTTCCATGTAGCATGTCAACTCTGAGTAAACTGCCCCTGCCCCTCCGAATGGCACTACCGGGTACAGAGAGACTGTATTATAATGAAAGGACGGTCGGGCACCCAGTAATCACTGGCTTGGACAATAGAATCAAACCCAAGGAAAATGCTCAGGCTCTAGCTCTGACTCTGGTGATACAACCCAATGGGAACTAACCTTCCTTGCCTTCCTCTCTCTCGAGTTCAACCCTCTAACATATGCCTACAGTTTTCACAGCTTTAAGCTGTTTATACACACTCAACCAAGAACTGAGTGATGCTTCAGTTTACGAACAGCGTGGGCCCCTCCCGCCCGGCATATAGCCGAGATATAGATCTTAGACCTCTTAGCTATGTTCTATCAAATCGTTTATGTTTCATAAGCATTGCTCTTCTGTGGCAGGCCAGGTGGGCAAGCCTTGTCTAGTCCGTAAATAGCCTCACCTACATTGGCCATGTAATAGATGGGGCCTGAAAGTCCCACATTTACTTTAGAACGGGCAGAGGGGCTCTAAGTTAGCACTACCTGGTTATACACCGAGCATTAGGTCATAGGCCTATATTACAATGTTCTGTCAATTCCTTTCCATTTCGGGCCAACATCAGTTGGTAACTGGCCGTAGTCGGTACGAGACCGGACTGCAGCCAATTCCCTCAGGTAAGAGAGGCATCTGGGACTTAGCAGGAGTGGCCTGTTTCCAGCTGCAAACCAAACTTTCTGTTGGCTTTGTGCGAGTGCACCATCGAACAGCGGCTTCAACTCCTCGCCCCACTGGCTTCAGCATGCAGGCCGCGGCCCCTAGACCAGCACTGGGTGTGCAAAGCACAGTCTTCCTCCTAGAAAACTGCTTCTCTTTTATCGTGTGAAAGGAGTTTTACATGGCTCGCGTTCTTACGGGCTAAGGCGGTATCGACTGTATTATATGCAGCATGTGAAAAACCTTTGCTAAATAGCATATCAAAAGAAGAAACGAGTACAGTGGGTCAAAGAACATCTTTCCTGGTCTCAACAAAAGTGGCATGAAATTCTGTGGTGTGATGAATCAAAATTTGAATTTTCAGCAACAGACAAAAGCAAACGTGTCATTCGATCTGCCAATGAAGCTAATGATCCATCATTGTTAAACCTCTTAGTGAAGTTTCCTGCCAGCGTCATGGTTTGGTATCACAAAAGTGTTTACTTTTATGAGCGCCAGTGGTATGGGTCAATTGACATTTGTTGATGGAACACTTGCTTCAGAGCAATGCAATAACATTACTTTTATCCATAGGGAGGCTATATTCAAATGGAACCTGCATTTTCCAGTAGGATGGAGCCACATGCAGAAAAACAAAACACTTGCTTGAAGAAAAGAACATAGAAGTTCTCCCTTGACCATCCAACAGCCTACATCTTTCACCAATTGAGAATGTATGGAACATTGTGAAGAGACGTCTGCGAAAAACACACCTTCGGACAGTTGAAGGACAAAGCTTCCATCCTAACCATTTGGAATTCCATAACGGCCGATGAATGCGAACAGCATGCCGAAAAGTATGAAAGGTGTTTTGGCCACAAAAGGTGATGCAACAAAATATTAAACATGCAGTGGTGCCTGTGACTCAAGTTTGACTGGCTCAATATTGTTAAACTTGCAAGATATCAAGTATATATTCAGCAAAAAAAAAAAAAAGATTAATTACTGTATATTTGTTTTAAATTATATAATACATTCATGCAATGAATCAAAGCTACTTTTTTTAAAACCTATTTATTGGATGGTATGTTAACTGCGGCCTGGTCTAAGTTCGGTGGTGACTACTGTATATAAAACAATAAAATCTATCCATATAGCTTAATTTGTATTTAGTATATCGATTGCATTGCAATAAACGTAAAGCCTTTTCTACTAAATGATGCATACTTATAATATTTTTACAAGCACTTTCCTGTGTTTTAGTTACCTATCACTACTCTATTTACTGGCAATTAATTAATAGTGTTTTTGGATCATACTGCTATTAATGATGCACTAAATCGAATGATGACTATATCTAAACGTTAACATATCAAAGAAATAAAATACATTTAATTGAGGGCAGAAATTTATAATATGTATGAATAAATTACGTTAGTATTTAAAAAACACAAGAATTTAGTTATTTACATTTAAAATAGAGATAAGACTATATTTTTAATAATTATGTCAGTTCAAGTGAACAAATTTCTTACTTCATCTTCTTCTTCTTCTGTTATATTGAACATTGTATATCTATAAAAATTAAGTATTTCATCTCGAACGATTTCAAGATCTTCATGAATCATGAGAAGACGTTTAGCTTTTTCTACGAACTCTCTAATAAAGTATAATTTTCAATGTAAAAATGGTAATTTTTTATGATTTTTAAAATATGTAATATAAACAAACCTCTTCGCCCGAACTGAAGGAATCGAAGATATTTCCGACAAGCTGTGAAATTCGTAGAGAATTCGCGTCTTACCAGTAAACAAAGACCTGTTTCCGTGTAGATTATTCCTCAATTTTATTAATTTCGGAAGATCAGGATAAAAACCAGAATTTATTCCCCAAGCAGCAGTTGATGGAATTCCATACCAAGTTTCCATTTCTACTATTAATTTCCCTAATTTCTCTGGAAGGATATATATATATATATATATGAATAAATAGAACTTTAACAAAATTTTAATTAATTTATTATTTATTAATGTTTTCATAAACACAAACTGCTTACTTTAATGTAAAGAGTTGTTGACATGAAAAATAATAGAAATGTGTTTAGTTATTTATCAAATAGTCAAAGCATAATTGAACTGCAATTAAAAAAAATTGTAGATGTATATACAAGGTCTGTTCAAAAAGTATCGGACCTTTTTTTTCCCGCGTAAACCAATGATGCGAGAGAGGCCTGCTTCGGTGGAGCTGTGGAGGGGACAGTCATGCACAGCCCTGAATTTTTTCCCGCCTGCAGGAAGCGTCAGTCGCTGGCAATCGGCCTATGAGTGAGGTCATGTAGTGCGCTCTCGTCGGATTCCACTAAGCTGGAAAATGACTGAACAACGTGAGCAGCGATATTACATCAAATTTTGCCAAAAACCTTGGCGATACCCGAGTGTAAACCATTCGCAAGATTCAGCAGGCTTTCGGGGACGATCCTCGAGGCCAAAAAAAGCGCGGCAGGTCCGCAGCAATATCAAAGGTCATGTTGACAGTTTTTTCGACTCTCGTGGGGTGGTGTGTCGTGAGTACGCACCACAAGGCCAAACCATCGCAAAGGAGTACTACCAGGAGGTCCTTCGTCGTCTTTCCGATACAGTGCGACGCAAACGACCGGATCTGTGGTCGATCAAAACTTGGCAGCTCCATCGTGATAACGCATCCGCCCATTCTGCGCATCTGATTCGGGCTTTCGTCGCCAAACACAATACTCCTGTGGTTCGTCACGCTCCGTACTCTCTCCACATGGCTCCGTGTGACCTTTGGCTATTTCTCAAGCTGAAAATGCCGCAAAAAGGAACCCAAATTTAGTCGAGAGAAGACATCATGCGAAATGCGACGGACCGGCTTATAACCATTCCAAAAGATGCGTTCCATCAGTGTTTCCAGCAATGGTAGGAACGCTGGGAGAAGTGTATACATTACCAAGGAGACTACTTTGAAGGGGATTAGGGTTTTGTACCTCAAAGTCAATAAATTTATTTCTGCCGACCAAAGGTCCGATACTTTTTGAACAGACCTTGTATTTCCACTGTTTGTCTGTCCTTCCTAAATCTCGAGAACGGTGTTAGACAGATGAAAGTTGATATTAGATATGTAAAGCGTACGGGCAGGAGGCCCGATTAACTATGAATGAACTTCCGGTTTGCACTGAAAGACACTTTCAAACACAACTTTTTTCCTGAACAGGAATGGCGGCACGACTCTATTGCTAATAGAAAAAGTATAACGTAAAGGGGCAAGAGACCAATAATTTGAAGTGGAGAGCGTATATTTTAAATGCAATAAATAAAAAATATGATTAAAAATTGCAGACCGGCATTGTGACATGGTCACAATAAATAATTGCTCATAGCAGAAAAGTCGAGACTACTGATGATCCGGCACCTTGTTTAATCCGAACAAAGTTTCAAGTGGAAACTTGAAATTTCAGCTGTCACCATACTAGTTTACTGGGTGGCACAGCTGGGATTGTGCCATGTGTTGGTTCCGCTTATTTACATTATTTACATTTCTGTTATTGATGGTGATGCTTACTTTATTATGCTTAAATTTAATCTTAGCTACGGCTTCCGTCAGTTGTGGGAAATGCAAATTACATTTAATACTTATTTAAGTTTCCAGTAGGCCATGGTATAATTTAGATATATGGGAGGTAAATAATTATTAAGTTAGAGATGTGTTGATGAATTATTATTATACGAGGCCACAGTTGGTCCGGAAAATCTGTTAATCCTGCCTGGCTTTAAACTAAGAGAGTTGAAAATTCGGTAATGTACCTGTAATTACAACAGTTTTCTATTTTTTGCATTTACCTTCTTAGTCATCCTGTAATTACAACAGGATGACTGAGAAGATAAAGGGCAAAGGCCCTTAACTTTAAGCATATATTTCTAAAGGTACCAAAACTAATCATTAATACATTTTTCAATTTTTGTAAAGTAAAACACACCAGTTTGAATTCTGATTTATGATTGATAAAAAAAAAATGAATACTGTATATAAAACAATAAAATCTATCCATATAGCTTAATTTGTATTTAGTATATCGATTGCATTGCAATAAACGTAAAGCCTTTTCTACTAAATGATGCATACTTATAATATTTTTACAAGCACTTTCCTGTGTTTTAGTTACCTATCACTACTCTATTTACTGGCAATTAATTAATAGTGTTTTTGGATCATACTGCTATTAATGATGCACTAAATCGAATGATGACTATATCTAAACGTTAACATATCAAAGAAATAAAATACATTTAATTGAGGGCAGAAATTTATAATATGTATGAATAAATTACGTTAGTATTTAAAAAACACAAGAATTTAGTTATTTACATTTAAAATAGAGATAAGACTATATTTTTAATAATTATGTCAGTTCAAGTGAACAAATTTCTTACTTCATCTTCTTCTTCTTCTGTTATATTGAACATTGTATATCTATAAAAATTAAGTATTTCATCTCGAACGATTTCAAGATCTTCATGAATCATGAGAAGACGTTTAGCTTTTTCTACGAACTCTCTAATAAAGTATAATTTTCAATGTAAAAATGGTAATTTTTTATGATTTTTAAAATATGTAATATAAACAAACCTCTTCGCCCGAACTGAAGGAATCGAAGATATTTCCGACAAGCTGTGAAATTCGTAGAGAATTCGCGTCTTACCAGTAAACAAAGACCTGTTTCCGTGTAGATTATTCCTCAATTTTATTAATTTCGGAAGATCAGGATAAAAACCAGAATTTATTCCCCAAGCAGCAGTTGATGGAATTCCATACCAAGTTTCCATTTCTACTATTAATTTCCCTAATTTCTCTGGAAGGATATATATATATATATATATGAATAAATAGAACTTTAACAAAATTTTAATTAATTTATTATTTATTAATGTT